TTTTGTTCACACTGTTTGAAGCCTAATAATTTCTGTGGTCAGAGGCACCATTAGGGTGCAAGCGAGCGAATTTTCCGAGCGAGCGAGAATATGTGGCGAGAAGAGGCGAGACGCGATAAATATTAAAACCTGTCAGATATGTGCGAGAATCAGAAATTCGCTCTCGCCAGCGTTATTTCTCGCTTCTCGTTTGTGCATAATTTTTCCTTGCGAAAACTAAATCGCTCGCAACCTCTCGCTCGCTCTAAATTCGCGTCTGCATAGTCGCACCCTTATGTCATTTACACTATATCAATGGCTGCTGTAATAAAATGGAAACCATTTATATAATGCTCATATAATTTAAATAAACAATATAAATATAAGCTGTTTTTATATTGTAATAAAAAACAAATAATATCGAAACATAAGAGAAAGTTTTCGCGTATCAAAAGAAACTTCCACTAATTGCATTCTCTTTACTAAAGTAATCTCGAAGTGTAGAGCATTACGGATGAATATTTTCAAAAATGTGTAAGATATATATGTATAAACTTTTATACAATAGGCCTTTATGGTAAATATTATATGATTTTCAAATTCAACTGTTAAGAATATTTAAATTTTATAAAATTAACATAATGTTTTGGTGTATTGTCTTAAAGATACCCATAGGAACAACTAGAAATACTAAATGTGTTTAAGTTGTGCGACGAGATAGTATGATAAGTTATTCATATGGAAAATCGTATCAAAACTCTATAATAGATTTACACTGCTCATGAGATTAACTAATTATTCAAACTCACTAATGCATTAAACAAATAATTTAAGCTACAAATTTTTAATTAATTAACTTCAAATAAATTAACGTTATTAATACGTTTTCTATAGGAAATAAAAATATTTTTTAATTATAAAAATTCTAGTGAAATTCTTACATCTTTAAAAATAAAATGGATATCATTCAGAGGATAATGCTGTGAGCGCATTATCTTGAGTTATATCTTTTGTACACATTGTCGCGACGCGTATCTCTTATAATTCCTGCATAAATGATGAGATGAGTCGCGTCGCGTCGCGTCGTCGCGACTTTATCGCATTACCGATTTACGTGTCATTATCCGTACGAAATTTAAATTATTTACATAATACGACGCGACACAATACCTATTTAAAAGTTTCATTAAAAATTTAAAATTAATATAAGAGCATTAAAATACATTATTCTAATATAAATTTTGCTATTTTATTTGTTTAATAATAAATAAATAAATAAGATTAAAAATAAATGAAAGAAAAATATAAAATTAATTTAAAACATAAATTATATTGAATACCTTCATACTTTCTTTAATTTTTAAATAAAATAATTTACTTTAAGCTAAAGAAAATTTTATTTTCTGAACAATCTTAATAAAAAAAAATTCTTTGGTTAATACGAATCGTTAATAATATGTTAAGAAAGTGATATAATGACATTTAGAAATTTAAAAAAGTATATGTTTTAATTATTATTTAATTGCTAAAATCTTAATTAAAATTGTTAATTATCCAATATTTAGTTAATTAGTCAATCACTAAAAGCAATCACTTTAATTACTTATCATAAAGAAAAATTAATTTTAAGTTGTCGATTATTATCGAATCCACTTTAATTTGAAGTTATCCAATTATGAAATATGTTCAATTGTTAAAATAATATTTTTATCACGTATAATTCAATCTAAAAATTTATTTCTTACATTTTAGTAATGAATTACTTCAATTTTTTTACGAATAATTCGAATTTTTAACAAACGAGCCCTAATTATATTTCGCTAATTATGCAAAGTTAAAACAATGAAATCGAATTAAATCAGATAATTTTAAGTGTAATTAACGAGTTAATTTAATTTTTTACAGTATTTTTCAGTTATTTTCTTAAATATATATGTTACAAATATCATAAATTCGATAAATTTTATTCATGTAAAAAGTAAAATAAAATTTTTGAAATCTTTCGAAATCGTTAAGAGATGAACTTAAATTCATCTTTATTTATTCATCTTTTCTATTGGGACATTAATAGAAGTATTTGACATTTAATTGCGATAGAAATTTAAGTCGTCTGAAGAGTATTTCAAACTTAATTAAATAAATTTGTAACTTTACTAATCTTACATACGAGAGGCACTTTTCATAAATTTAAATCTTCTCATAAAGATATTAATGTGATGTTTTATTTACATTTTATACTAAATTATTGATAACATTATCTTTAAATATTATTTATTGCAAATATATTAATTTTACTTAACATTTAATTTAATTTTCATCGAAAACTGTTTAATCAGATTATCAAAATTCCTATTATTTATAATTAAATTCAATATAATTGCAAATATTTATTAATTTTATAAAGTCAAATCTCTGAACAATGGCCACTGACGAAAACATAAAAATAGCAGATTTTTACAGGTTATTTTATATGAATTTGCTCAAAAATAAATGCCTGAAAATGGCCGCTGTTTAGAGGTGGCCGTTGTTAGGAAGTGTCCATTATTGGAAATTTTAAATATTTTGCAATTTGAAGAAATTGTAAACCTACAAATTCCCACTATCGTTCGTTGTCTGCCCTTCCTTAATCTAGAGAACGGTGTTATATAGATGAAAGTCGAGACCAAAATAAAAACAAAATACAAAATACAGACAAACTACATAGATGAAAGTCGAGACCGAAGGCCACGTGATTTCAGTTCAAATATTTTCCTTAGAACGGAGTTATACAGATGACCGGCATGACTCTGTTGTTATCAGAAAGAGTATGATGTACAGTACAGGGGCAAAACATATAAACTTAAGTGCATTGTGACAATGTCACAATAATTTTTGCTGGTATTATTTTTACCTTTTCGTGTGTGTTATCATGAGAATTTTCATAAGTATAGAATTTCGTAAGCTGAAGTTAGTAATGTTTCTAAATAAAAGTCCGTCGCGCGGCAAATGCGGCGCGCAAGAAATGTAAAATTTTAATAAGTAATATATTTGTATGTTTGGAGGATTTTTTATTTAATTTTTTTACGTAAATCTTCATATTTGATATATCTAATTAATGTTAATTTATATTTTCAATTAATATAAATTAATACCTGAATATTCTGAAATTATCTTTCATAGATTATCTAAATTTTGATCATTTTTTACATTTTAATTATATTCTTCATTGAAAAATTATTAAATGTAGTTAAATTATTATTAAACTCATTAAATATAATTAATTCCTTTCGAATTTAATAATATAATTTAAATGTAATTAATTACAAACTATATGTTACAAATCCATAAATGATTAAAGTTATGAAAAACTTTTTAAATGATTTAAATATAATTAAAAATTAGTGCGAGAATCAGNTAATGTGCTGTAAATATTTTAATATTATAAGGAATATGATATGTTTGCTTCATTTTAACTTTATTGTGACTTTTTAATCAGTAAAAATGTGTAATATTTTTTTAAATATTAATTTAATTTAGGCAGCGTTAATAACATTTAATTAATTATTTTTATGTTATGTAAATTTCTCAGTTATTAATTAAATAATATATTTTCAGAAATTATAAATCTTTCTCTTTAATTAAAAAATACATAAAAATTTCTATGTAAAATACTAAAAAAAAAGTATTTGTAAAAGTGCGCATTATACGCGAATAACATAACTTTTAATAGCCGGCATTTTTTAAAAATCACCAGATTTAAATTTATCACTCGAAAGACGATTAAACATTTATCTAGATTATAATTTATTACATATTTTGGTGGTTTTATGGACGTTAACTTTCATTAGTTGGCTTAATTATGGAATGAATGAAGACGTTAAAAATCCATCAAAAATAGATGTTATCTAGCTTTTGCTATACTTTACACCATTTACGACCTACAGGTGCTATCTAATTCAAAGAAAAAATCGCATTATGTATGTCTTTAGGTATTATTAAGAAAGATCCATGTCATAGGCTATCCATTAACGGCCTAAAACATTTTTCATGGTTGTAGATAAGTAAAACTGTTTTTTGCAAGGAAAAAAAGCTAAAATTTTTCTATAATCATCGCATAATGATCCAGTAATCTCCTTCCTTGCAGATAAACTTTCGTTGGTATTTTTATAATGAACGTGAAAAAAATATATATATATATCGTCATCTCGTATTTCTGACTTGTTAAATGCCGTTCATCTTCGTCCAATATGAAATAATTATTTTATATTAATAATTATTTTTTAAATTTATAAAAAGTAATTATTTTATTTAGAATTACTTAAGGTTTTTTTATTTCAAATTTTAATTTATTTTTAAATCATAAACATTGAATAAAAATTTCAGGATTAATTTTAATATTTACCTTAATTTTATAAAATTTTTATTTATATCAGATTAATTTTATTTTATGAAATTTACTTTTTATGATAAAATCTTTGTAATTTTAGCGTCGTTTTAAAGTACGTCGAATCGCTTCGCATGTCGCGCGCGGAAATATTATAGATAAAAGTCATAAAATTAAATTTTTACGGCTTCTATTTTTATATTAATAAATATATGAAATAAAATTTTCTAGTTTTTTTTGAAGAAACGCATATTAAACACTTTGCTACATTAATTATTTCTTCTTTTCTTATTTTTATTAATAGCATACATTTTTATAGAAATATTTTGTATGCTTTTAAAAAATAAGAAAATAATTGGACGTTTAATATCACAAGAGTCGCGCAACACGCGAAAAAGCGCGCGAAAGATGAAAACAAAAATTTCTTAAATTTAAATTATTAAAAAAAAAGAAGAAGAAAAGAAAATAATAACTGCGAAATTCTAAAATTCTTACCTGGGTCTGGCTTTTTGAGAATATAATCTGTCCAATTCTTCCAAGTAGCGCAACGTCTCGTAAACATTGTCAACGTCTACATAAGCAGGACGTGCTTCTGCACGCTCCGAAAACAATGCTAAAAGTATACCCACGGATATAATGCCAAAAAAAATATTTTTATGAATTCTGTTCATTTTTTTTTCGACCAGATATAGGATATGCCCACAAAAGGGATACTTTTAAGCAGTTGAATTGATGTGAGCAAACGGAAGTTATATTTTAGTCTCTCTTCACAACCAATGACGATTCCGGGTATTTATGCCGATTCTACTAATGTTAGAAGGCGTGCAATCGCCCACCTCTTCCATACTCACGTGATTTTCATTTATCTCCCATCAACCAATGAAGGAGAGGAACGTAGTCTTTCGATGTTTGTATTGGTCGAAAGTATTATCTTACTCTTTTCGTCTATTAATATTTTTGTCTTAAGTGACGAATATTCGACGTCCTTCGATCTTGTTTTGACCTTTAACTCGTAGAATGCAGTAAAACGTAGCGAAATTAAATTCACTCTCATCACTATAACTCGATCTGAAGGACGGTGTTTATTGTATAAAATTCTATTCTACATTTTTTATGTTATCTTTTTCCTAACTAATACTATAACATTTCCTATTTTTATTTTATATAATTTATTTTCCTAAACTACACACTTTAATTTCTTTAGGTTTCTCTTTATCAATTTTTCTTAACTGAACAACTTTCTTTATTTTATGATATTATTTTTAGCATAATTAACAAAATCTTTTATTTCTATTTGAAATCATTTTATATAATTTAACAATGTTTTTGATATTTAAATTATACTGAATTGATTTAACTTTATAATATTTTTCATAGTATTGATTTGTATAACTTGACACGTAATGATTTGATTTTTATTTTTCTTAATTTTTCTAAAATGAAAACACTGTATTTTTCTATTAACTAGTCGTAAATAGTGCAGATTATATCATTTTATCACATATATTATAAAAATCTTGTCGTATGTTCAGTACTATGTGCATAAATACAAGCAGTTACTATACATAACACTAAACATCTTTTCATAATGATATAGCATCGAAGCAATTTGTTTTCTTAACTAAAACATATTATTTCTTAATTTAAAATTGTTATTTTAATTATATAACACTTTTATTTATTTATTTATTTACTAAATCGACCTTCAGGAAGCCTAATTACAGATCTGTTTAACATATAAAGGAATATAACACAATAATAAAAATTAGAACATAAAACAATACTCCTTTAAATAAAACTGAGATTTGTTTTTAAAAAAGTACAAAACATAAAAATTGAACATGTAAGAACAATTTCCACATTAATTTTAACGTTTAATATTAATTATCTTGAACAGTGACTGTCGAAATTGTCTCTTAGAACTAAACAAATCTAGTTGCCATCCAAAGTAATTATGGAGTAATTATAGAGTGCAAATTTTAAGTATATATTTTATTTTCTGCCTTACAAAATATCTTTTTTCTTTAAGTCTTTAAGCATATTTATTCCTTAAATTTACTTCAATTTCTTAACTACCATATTTCTCTTATTTCTATTTTGTATCGTCTTTTTAATCTTTATTTTATTTCTTTTTCTATCATTTTATTTGTTTATAAATATATATATACAAGGTTTTATTAATTTCACTTCCAAATACTTGAATGAAGCTATTTTAATGTAAAAATTATTACATTAAAATCCCAAAATGCCATTAGATATAACAATTATACATAAATTTTAGATTAAAAAAAATAATAAATCTAACCAAATAAGATTTAACTTCGTTTATTTAATTTAAAGGGAAAAAATAGTTTAAAAATAAGCCAATTATAAGTCTCTGAAAAGTTTAATAAAGAATTTAATGCGCTTGGTATAAAAAAAATTACTCTAAGAAAGAAAAATTATATATTATATAAATTTTTAAATATTTTTCAGCTTTTTTTACACTATTATTTTTTATTTTATAAGCATTATCACTCCTTTATCAAGTAATGTTTGCCGCATAATCTGGGATTTAACGTGATTAAAGACGTTGAAGTAAACTAATTATGCCTCCAAGTCATATTAATTCGGTTCATTGGTTTAAAAATAATACAGATTTATTAAAAAAATAAAAAGTAAATTAAAAAAAATACAACTTAAATATTTATAAGTAAATTTTTACATTTTAAATAATATAACATTTTTATTATAAATATTTTAGAGTGTTAATATATATAGCAAATTTTAAATTAGTTATAGCATTTATTAAATGAAATAAATTTTTATTAGCTTCTTAATTTGATATAAACTAGTCTAGACGAGGATAAATAAAGTTAAAAACGTTAATAAAATGTAAATAAAACTAAAACTATTGATGGAAATAAATGTAAGAGAAAGATATTATAGTGAAGTTAGCTTAAATATAATATATATACTTGTATATATAGTCTATATACATTTAATAATATTTAATTTAAATACTACAAGTTAAAATATATTATAAGAAAATATATTTTTAGTCAATTTACGTTTCAAATATCGTTTTAAGAAAATAAAACTGTTCAGTTTTTCATTTCAATTCAAGAATTTTTAATATATTTTTCTGTTTTTTTCTAAATCAGGTAGCATTTTATATATTACTAAAATAAATATTTTCCATTTAAAGCAGTTCATGGCAAATATCAGATATTTTCCTATGCTAATGATACTGTTTCCTGTTTGCAATGTGTGTGAATCCATTAAAATGTAGCACGTCTCATACAGACATTAATGGACATACAAACTAGATAAACACATTGTGTACATTTTTTTCTACTATCAAATAAATGAGTATTTTATGTTTATATATTTATAAATTTATTTAAAATGCATTTTTGACATTATTTTCTTTTCATAAAGTTTTATTTTTGCGTAAAAAAACAATATTTTTTGCGTTAAAATCTTAATTTTTTTATATATTAATAGTTTATTGCTTGTATAAATTAAGGATTTTTTAAAAATTTTACGGTGGTTTTTATTCATTAAAAATGTCTTTTAAAAGTTTTTTTAGGAAAATATTTAAAGTCATTAAGTTAATAATATTGAAATAATTTCTAAATATTTTAATTTAAATGAAGATCTAATTTTTTTTTTTTAAAAACTGCCATTACTTGAGTAAATCTATTGTTAACAATTTAATTTGAAGAGTTTGACAATTGAAATCAGTATAATTTGCCTAATACACATTGGTTAATGCATTAGATAATTAATTAATCAAGTTTAGAACTTCATTCTAAATAAACTTTGAAATTAAATAATTTCTTTTTCAAATAATTTATTAAATATAAATAATTATAAATGATAACAATTAACGAAACACCTTTCAATCAAATACAAATATAATTTTTTTTATCTTAGTTGTCGTTTTGTTCTGACAATTTAAAATTGTTAACATTTAAAATAAATCTTATAAAGATTATTTTACATTTTAAAATAATTTAATTTTTTAATATTTTTATTTGTTCGTTTTTAACGAAAAATTGTATAGAAAGCATATTTATTTATCTTATTGCCAGTCGGATAGTCGAGACAGTTGAGTCAGTCTACCATTCTGAGGGATCTTGGATAGAATCCGAGCGGGCGAAGAACCCTAGGAACGTTTCGTGGGCTTTGTCATAAGTATGTTGGGCCCGTCTCTCATCACCCATTGTAGGCCACAATGGGTACTATTAGAAAGGTTCTCTTAGCGCCCAAGGGAGGAAAGAACCCAAACATATATATAATATGTTTATTAATACCAAATATTGAGTTAATTTTTTTCCTTGAGCCATCAGTGACGTAATGGATAAATTCTGATAGTTGGTCGCGGATTTGCGCTTCACCAATGGGCTGACCCCGTGAAGTTTTCCAGGTTTTCTTCACATGTCTAACACCAAGTAGGGGCCAATTTCCCATAGTAAGTTCTCTCGAGAAGTTCTCTCCCTTGGCAGATCGTTCATGTGTTGCTCTGCCTTATCCTATAATCTTGCAATTCCCCCCCCCCGATTTTAATTTTACAAAAATTAAACTTATTTTGATATTCTTCATTTATTAAAATAAACTTATTTATTTTATTTTTTATTTTAATAAATGTAAATCACTTACATGACTATATAAATAGCATAACTATCTGTATACAAGTTATGTATAAACTGCTGTATGTATGTAATAAAAATGTTTTAAGCCACTTTTTAACTAAATTAAAATGTAGATTCATTAATTACAGCAGAGACATTTATCCATAGGTGTAATATGTAATTATCATAACATTATTTCAATCTAATAGTTTTTTAATTCGTCGTTTTCTTTGAAGACTTTCAGAAAACTCATTAACGATAACAACATTTCTTTCTATAAATTTTACATGTATATAAATACATACGTATGCATATATGCACGCATATAAACATATTCCTGAACACAATGCCGTAAAAAATTTGTATGGGGCCTGGGAGAGAGAGCGGCTTCTTTTTACTTTTATTTATTTATTTAACAAATTAAATAAATAGAATATTTATTTATTAATAAAAAGCAGTTTTAAAGATTTTATTTTTGTTAGTAAAAATAACAAATATATAGGGATAGGAACCACTATGAGCTTCTAAGTTTCTCCGGCTCGGGGAAAACTCAGCTCCCTTCTCGACGACCCTGCATGCACACAAATAAACGTACACAAACATAAACACGCACATACATACATATATATGTATATCTACAAGATACATGCAATAAATTTTCAACTTTGGTTAATGTTGTTGTACATTTAGAGAGCCATTATTACCTTGGAACTTACTTTGCCCTTTACTACTTTACTAATTAATTTTCTCCAGCCACATTTATAACCATATTTTAATTTTATATTCTTATATGCTATTATCTCTACACTCTTCTACTCATTATTAAGAAAGCAGCAACCAAAAAAAAAAAATACATTTCATTAATTTCTAAACTACGTTAAAGATTTTTATATTAAAGTAATAATAATAATTCGTGTAAATCTTACATACGCATATCAGATTTTTAAAAAGAAATTGTATAATAAAAATAAATGTTTTAACAAAGTCGATTTCAATTTTGTTTTGTGATTTTTGATGCCACGTTAGTGCAATAAGGGATGAATCTCTAGAGGCCACCCTTCCAACAAAAGAGAATTGTTTCTTGTCAAAAGATAACTTTTAACAGAGACAGATGAAGATGTAAGACCGAAATGTCTCTTATTTTAGAAATTTCTGTAAACAAGATTTCAAATATTTT